CGGTTCGCAGCTCGTGATGCTCACCACAAATAGATCTGAGCAATGGTTAAAAAAAAAAGAAAAAAAAGGAAAAAAGGTCGCAAAGGTATGAAGGCAAAATTAAAGCCGGGGCGAGCCCACCCTGAGAAGCAAAGTACGCAACGCCCGGTCTTAGGGTTGGCTTTAAGCTTTGCTGTTATTGGCTTTGCTCTTAGGCTTTGATCTTAGAGGAGGGGTTTTAGGCTTTAGCTCGTAGGCTTGGGTTTAGGCTTTTTGATTTAGGCTTTGGTCTTAGGCTTGGCTTTAGGCTTGGCTTTAGGTTTGGCGGCTTTAGGGTGTGCTCTTAGCCTTGGCTGTTAGACTTCGCTCTTGCGCTTGGCTTTAGGTACTGACCCCACAACTGCTAGTGGAGGGTACTTGTCGATGTAAACTGGGATCCCATAGTCTACCCGCAGATGTGGGATCGGAAATATTTTCGCCTGTTTCTACTACCCCCCTCGTGCGTGTCAGCAGTGGTTTGCCCGCCCCGCCGCCGCGTTGGGCGATCAGTTTCAGTTTTTCTCTGCAAGCGGCCGACCCCCTACTAGCTTTCCCCCAAAAAGTTGGCGGTTTTCCGRGAGGGGGGGGGGGGGGGGGGGGGGTTTGGTTCCTCCTCCCCTTTGTCCACATTGCGCCGCCATTCGTTGCCTTGGCTTGCTTTTAAACTTGGCTTTAGACTTGGGTTTAGACTTGGCTTTAGGTTTGGCTTCAGGCTTTTGGCTTTAGGCTGTTGGCTTTAGGCTTTTGGCTTTAGGCTTGACTTTAGGCTTTTGGCTTTAGGAGGGCTTTAGGCTTTTGGCTTTAGGCTTTAGGCTTTTGGCTTTTGGCTTGGCTTTAGGCTTGGCGTTAGGCCTGGCTTTAGTCTGGAGCTATTTTCGGTCTTGATACAGGCCTAATGTGAATAAATATGCGCTCTAAGACTCCAAGCCACTATATTATTAATTTCCCCCCAAAAAAGGGGGGAGTTCACAAAACTACAAAACTTTTTTCTTTCTCAAAAGTGTCACCAGGAGCAAGGTCCCACTAGCAAAGCGCATGAATCTGGACGAGTTTTAAGCAGAGATGCACAAAAACAGAGGGATTGGTGTCCACAATGTGTGATTCTTTTTCATTGTTTTCCTTTATTTAGTTTTTTTTTTTTTAAATCCACCCACGCACAGCTCAGCTCTACCATGCCCAAACCGGCCGGTCGTCTTCACCCGAATAGAACGCGCCCTATGATTATACATGTATCTAGACCGAAAATCGCCCCAGATACAACATTAATGACCGGGCATTAGCTCCGGGTGAGCAACAGTAGCGGCGTAGAAATCTATTAAGGCGGCGTTCTCAGAATAGGTCCAAACCGGTAACCATTTAAATGATTTAATAAACTAATAAATTATCATTTTATGAATTTTTTTAATAATCCTGTTACCGCTTTCATTAACAACTGATTCGCCATCACGAATAATTATTACTACTGTACTTAACAATTAAATTGAATTCGTTAATTAGTACTTCAATTAATGATAACATTCTCGCTGCCATTAAAGAATGGCTTCTCATAATTACGTTATGGGCGATATTAAAAATTAGCTTCCGCACTTCCTTCCCAGTTTGTATCCAGAATGATCGCCGTATAATAATTAGCAACAAAAAAAAATAAAAATTTTACTCCACTCATTTGAAAGGAATATTGTTTTTGCCCAAGAGCATAGCTCAGTGGGTACAGCAATGAACTGTTGGGATACCGACCCGAGTTCGAATCCAGATGATGATGGAACTACTTGATGAGTAAAAAACCAAATATTTCTTTTTTTTTTCTTTTTCTTCTTTAAACCAAACATTTCTGGATTGCCTGGGCCCGGTCAGCTCAAGGATGATATCTCAAGGCCGTTGCCCTTTTTAGAGTTAAAAACAGAAAAAAAAAAGGCAATAAAAAGGAATATCTGCATTTCCTTTTTTTCCCCAGAAAATCACAAGGGGGAACCAACAGTAACCAACAGTTATGAAGAAGTAATTACTCGATTTTTTTTCACCAAGAGTGAAAAAATAGAATTAAATACTCTATCTATAAGTGAAGGAAATTTCGCACGTCCCTTCTCCTTCCCTGTTCCGTCTGAATATTCCCTTTCTCAAATAAAAGGGGGGAGAAACAAAAGACTCCGCTTCCTGTCGATATTAGTAATAAAGCAACTTTTCATTTTTCTTTTTCCGCTTCCTTTTTCATTTGTCATACTCTCTAACGATACTGCGTCAGCCGTCCGCATCTTCACGGTGAAGGCGACCAGGTGCATAATCGGAATGTACACGTTGCAGACGGCTGATGCAGACGGCTGAGGTCATTTCAATAAGGCGATACGAATGTCAAAGAGCGTCTTTTTTTTAAGGCTTTCCCCTTTAAAAAAAAGGGAAAACAATACTAAAAATAATAAAAATAATAAAAATAAATAAAATAAATAAAATAGAAAGGTAAAATACATCGCGGGCAGACGAATGAAGGAGGCAGGCGAAGGGCACGTGGTCGTTAATTAGGTCAACAATCAAAACGGCGCTGGTGTGAAAGGAGAGAGGGAGACAATAAAAGAGAGGAGGAAGGAGGGGAGAATGAGGGAGGGAGAGGAGAGGGAGAGAGGGAGAGAGGGAGAGAGGGAGAGAGGGAGAGAGGGAGAGAGAAGAGAGGACCTCAGATAGAAAGCCGGAGAAAAAGAGTATGATGAAAACGATATATCCATGGCCAAAGCGAAAGACGACGACAGGGAATTAAGGAATGTTGGGTGGGAGATGGAAGAGAGAGAGACAAAGGAGAGAGGGAGGTAACATGAACGAGAGACGACAGCGGGGGATCAATGCACAGAGAGAGAGAAAGAGAGAGGTGGTGGGTAGGAACACATCAGATGGACGATGTAGAGAGAGAGAGAGAGAGAGAGAAGAAACGGTGTCTAGGCTTCGAATTCCTCTTCCGCGTACAGAGGAACCGAGCAAGAGAGGGCGAGAGAAAGGGCCAAGGGCGAGAGGGGGGCAGGCGAGGGGAAGAAGAGGAGGAAGCGAGAACGAGAGGGCGGTAGAGGTGAAATTTGGCGGGAGGCCTAAGGGTTGGGGACGAAGGTGTGTGGAGAAGGAGGCTGCTGGTCCGCAGGGAGCTGTTTGTTCAGTCAGGGAAAATTTAGAGGATTGATTCACTTCAGTATGAGTATTACTGTAATACAAGAACCAATCACGGCGTGCCGCTGGCGTATATCGACGGTTCACATTCGATATCGAACAGACATCGGATGAAAAAGGACATACAATAGGAGGCACGAAGAGGGAGAGAGACACAAGCAGCCAGAAAAAAGAGAGAAAAGGGATATGGGAGAGCGAGAAAACTTGGGAGGTAAAGGAGGGGAGGGGGGCTTGGGGGGGGGGGGGGGGGGGGAGGGGAGGATGGAAGAGGGAGAAGGAAGAGTAAATGGAGGCCCTGATAAACGACAGCTAGAGGCGGCGCAGAAACACCTAGTCTTCCCCTGAACACAACGTATACGGTCATGATAGCTGAATTTGGGCTATCTTTCAGTCTAAATACAGCTATAATGACCGTACGTTGTGTTCGGGAGAAGAAGGTAGTCAGCAGGGAGAGATGGACGACGAGCGGCCTTACAACTAAAAAAAAAAAAAAAAAAAAAAAAAAAA